GCGAGTGACAGCATCGGCGCCTGGGACCGAGGTGCGGTGACCACATGTGCCCGGAGTCTGGCGTGACGTGATGGCTCCCCATCCCGACCAGCGGCACGTCCGAACAGCAAATGGACGCGACTTGTGGGCGTCGCCGCGCGCCGATCATGCGGGCGATGGTTAGAAGCTCCTGAGCTACCGATTGAGTAGTTTGCTCATCGATTGAAATCCTCTGCGGCGGACCGGGGCACGGGCAGCTCGAGGAGAAAAGTTACGCCGCAAATGAACGTTTCTGGCGAGGGTGGGAACGTTCAAGCTTCGTATCATAAGCTTGGAGAGCGGTCTGAAATGTCGCCCGGTGCGCTCGGCGTGGCTGTGGTCTGGCCGAGCACGGGCACGAGCGATTTGACTGGTGAGTAACGCCTTTGAGCGAGTCAATCGCAAAAGGAGGCCGCGTGCCACCGGTTCTGACTTTCGCCGGGGATCTGTGACCTACAGCCGCGTCGGTATGAGTTTTCACGGAATGAATGTTTGATCAGGTTTTGAACGCTGACAAAGCCGCAAACTATCGGAGAACTCGATCAACGATGACGGCAAAGTTAGCGAAACAGTTGCCGGTCGTAAAGCCAAAAGCGCGTCCTAATTCCACAAAAAAACATAATAGCCTGCCGGCCGCACAAGCGTGGAAACTAAGATCAACTCGTTACGGTCGAGCCCATTACAAAACATGGGACGCGGGGGCACTGCGCCCTAATGATGTCACGTGACGTATAGAGAGCTGATAGACCTCACGCGCCTACACCGAGACGCAGAGGCACAAGACATGTCGCGGTGACTTCACGGCAATAGGCCAGCCTGGGCAGCCGCAGGGGGGGGGGGGGGAGCAGGGGCTCCTGCCCCCGAGCCAGGCGAAAGCTGGCTGTGCAAGCTTAGGCCTCGGAAATGTAAACACGCCAGCTGTCAAATGTCGAATGTCACACTGGCAGCGGCGGCAAACACGCCGCGCGGCCGGCGCGGACCGGCGCCGAGCTCCGCGCCCTGCTTAACAGGCCCGGCGACCCCGAACTCCTAACTGGGGGGGGGGGGGAGGGGGAGGGGGGGGGGGGGGCGGGGGTGAGATGGGAGCGACACGATCGAGCGCATAGAACTGCTGCAATATCGGAGACTGAAGACAATCTGAAATTTGTTTCCATCAAATGTCGGGCATGAAAGGACAAAATAGAAAACCAACGTTGACGGATAAGTAATGCTGGCTTTTTGCCCATTCTAGAACTATTTTGATACGCAGGTGTACTGCCTCATATGTGGTTCCTTGATAACTGAAACGCACTACGTGTTGGATCCTTCCTCGTAACAGTCCCGTCACGGTTTCAGAGCTTTTCCACCCGAGGTGGGAGCTTTGCTTGATGCCAAACGCCAAAATTATTTGATAATATTGATTCGGGCTCCCTGTTGGCCAAGCCGTCGGATCTTCCGCTGTCCCTGCCGCCCCCCCCCCCCCTTCTTCCCCCGCGTTGGTATGTGCAGATGGCGCCGACGTTTCGAGGCGTAGCATGCGGTAACAGTTCGTCGCCGGTGCGCGTTAAGTGTTGGTAAGTCCTATAGGTGTCGTTGGAATGAAGCTAGGGCTGTGATGCTCGTTCTAGTGCGACTCTGGAAAATTGTCTCCCGACAGTGCTGAATTTCGGACGCGCTAACTGCAGTCGCACTCTCTTCATGCCATAGTATGATTGCACCTCCAACGCGCACTTAAACAATAAGTAAAGGGAACATATCCATCCACATCACGGGCCGGGCAAAAGGCAACGTGACGTGGTATGGCAAGCCTGAAGTCCAAAGATCGTCCCCGCTCATATCAAAATCGCCTGAGAACCTGCGCCCGTGGTCAACTGAAACGTCTCGGTTACCATTAGAAAATCACCGTCTCTCGAAGCAAGTTTATTTATTATTTGACACGTGGGAAGGTCAGAGAACATTGTCCTGTGGCTTCTCTCAGCCTACAGAATTATCTTGAATACTGGCACATCATGCTTTGCTGCAAGCGAATGCGAGACCAGCATTAAAGTTATGGTGATTGCATGAGCGAGATAGCGAAATCTGCGGCAGGTTCACAGCAGGTTTATCAGCCCTCACGCATTGTTATCATATTCGTTCACTTGAATCATTCTTATTACATATGTGAGTAGGCTGCTTATGCGCGTAAATATCTCATCCATACCGCATGCCAAAACCAAGTGTTATTTTCGTCAACCTAGTCCACCGATTACATTCAGTGCACACTCTCTTCATAAAAAAACATCGGGACGAGGGCTGGACATTTCCACGTTGTTTCACTGGGGCTTTACGACACACTCAGCTGCTGAGGCTATATGATGTCGCCCACCTTTCACCATGGCAGAAAGGGCGGGCATCGCGGGGAATTGAAACCCCTACCTCTGGCTTCCCAGACGCACTGTGCTTAACGCAAGCGCGTTAACCATACGTTTTCGGCGCCCTGCATTTTCACGTTAGAAACAGTTTCCTAATAACTGACGTTCCTTTGTTTCTGTACAGTAAGAACCTTGTGGAAACAGTATCGGGTGTGATGAAGAGTGAGGCCGGAGGCCGGGTGATTTTTCTTCAACGTTGATAAAAATTGTTTTAACTTGAAAGCGGTTCAGCTCAGTCAGGCTCAATTCACATGTCGCGCTTGCCTAGAAGCCGATATTTTTGGAATTGCTGATCGCAATTTCACGCTGTCTTGAACAACATTGAGCACAATGTGTCCTGTATGATTATTGGTCCTTTGCTCGCAAGCTGACCAATCAAATATCCTTTTTCCTGTATCGCTACACTTGAGACAAGGCAGGCCATACCAACTTGAAATCAGAGGCGTAAGATTCGCCGATTGCGAAAAGGCTAAATAATGCGGGTCAAAGCCGGATCCAGATCTGGCCGATCCGGATCGGGACGACTAGTCGTCGCAGCAAACCGAGACCGACTCGTTTTGAAGGAGAGGGGCGGCTAATCGAGCTGCCAACAATTTCACGTCTGCCAAAGGGTACTGATAAACAGTCCCAAGCAGTCCAACAGTTCAAATGGCTCCTGGCCTACCTGGTTCCGAAATGGTTTATACGCCCCCATAAACCCTCCCAAACCCGAAACGGCAAGCGAGCTGTCGAGGACACTGCAACTGTAGACAGTTTGGGAATTAGCAGTCCCGAGGCTGCTAATTGTTCACCGACGTGAGCGCATGCCCTGCGATGCATTTCCCTGCAGCTCTCTGATATCACTACCCTGCCAGTTGCGCTGAAATGTTCCAGTTGACGTCTAGTGCTGTTGCCAAGAAGTTTCTTACGGTCCAGTTAATTTGCAAAGGAGCCTCCCACAGATGCAATGCATCAGAATGGTTAGTAACTCAACATTCGCACAACAGGCATGGTGCACCCCGAGCAGCGTCGCCCACCGAGGGAAGTCAGACGTTTCCCCTCAGGCTGTGGCGTGGTCTGACGCGTCATGCACCGATATCAACATTCATCTGTTTCATCAGCACGCCTGTGGTTGGTCGGCGAGAGTGGGTAATCTCCCGGGTCCGTCAGCCGTCAGTAAATGAGTGGCTTCGGTGCTGGCTCCTATCTGTGTGGACCGACTCACGTCTGCCGCCCCATATGTGTCGGCAGCTGAAGCCGGGCCTGGAGGTCTCACTTTCTACTTAACAACTTATCTGCACTTATTTGTATTGAAACTGATTCAGTTATTACTTTGTTTCCCCGGAGTGAAGCTTTTACAATTGGAGAGAAGGCGGTCTTCATGCAGCCTTCACGACTGTTGGGATATTGTGATGCATGGAACGATGGCGCCTGTATGAAAATATATCCCGAACCAGAGTAAGGTGGCACATTTACATGGGCTAGTTTTATATTTCCTTCGCTTGTCATCCTCATCTACGTATTTTCGTACAGTCATGGGGAAAAAGCACAAGTACCAAATTAGGTTCGTTAAAAAGACGAAAAGTGTCTGTCGATTGACCAAAAGCGAGCATAAATCAAATGTGCTAAAGGAGTGACGTTGCTTGCACGAGATACACAAAGCGTCGCATACCTTGACAATAAGCCCCAGCACAAGTGATATCAAAGACGTGTTCCAACCTTTTTTCGTGCTTAATGCTCAAGTACAGTGCCGAGCTCATTCTTCTGCTTATCACCACAAAATAAACATTCCTCCGCACATTTCTTAAGGCAGACAAGTTGCTTGGTAGGTGCATTTCGAAAATACTCCGTAGGACTATATTCTATGGAGTTATTTGTGAAAATAGTGTACTGGGTCGCATTCGTAAATAGCACACAAATCTAGCTTTTACATGCGCTACTTTCCTTCCGCAGCTTTGACTAGAGCTCATAATCCCATCACCGATGACAAAAGCTATGATTCCTGAAAAAGTGGCTCCTGTTATCCGTGACATTGCAATATTGTAATATCACAATGTGACAGAACACGAATCTTTTATTAACACCGCCAATTTGTCATTGTTTCCCGCATGTATGTAAGCGTAGAATCGAATGACACCGACATGATAGACATGGTGTCTGAAAGGCTCCGAATTTGCAGCTCGTCGGTGCAAATTTTTGGAAGTGCAGCGCATGAACATGACATCTCATAACCCAACAAAGCATACGTGATCTCTTCACATGAGTTTAATTGGTGGTTTCCTAAATTAACTACCATCAGAGCTCTCTTTTGATTTTACTGCCGGCTGATTACTTTAGCGTGAGACTTTTCAGGAATCTATCACCGTACATCATTCTGGCTCAAATGAGACAATCTAAATGCGAATTATTTTTAAACATTGTTGGACTTTTCATCCATTTCTTTGGGGCCTAACGACAGACGAACTGCATTGAAAAATGAGCACATTGCCATGGTCTAATCCTCGCTTTCAGTGCGCCACCAACAACTATCCACGGACGGCATTCTACTCCGGTGAGTGTTCCCCGTTTGCTCAGGCACTGGATCCGCGCTTAAACTATCCCTTTTGTCGGCAGGAGGATCGAGGCACGACGCGTGGCAGGGTGAGTACCCCGCGGGCCTGCCCGCCCCAGCACCGCACCACACCTCATCCTAGGGCACACCACTGCCCCCAGTATGATCTATTCAGCCACATGCCCTGCACGGCGTGATCTGTGGCAATCATTCTCGATTGTCGCAGTCGGTATCGTTTCGGGATGGCTTCCCGGGACCTTTTAAGTCCGCGCGTTTTGGGAATGATTATGCGGCCGCCTGCAAGGTCAGACGGCCATCACAGCGTATGACCAGTAAATGCCGACATTAAAGCTGCAAGTACCGGTAACCCTTGTCCCGTCTCATCATCATAAAGCACGTCGAAAGTTCGACATGATTTGGCGTGCATAGTCGCGACGGCTTCTGCAAAAGCCCGCATGTGTGTGGTTTTTCACAATCTAGCGACGAAAAGCTACGGCGGCATTTTGTGTTAAACGGCGCGCTCGCAAAGTATTTATACCTACACCTATAGCGCTCACTGCAATATTTCGTGATAACACTCACGGTGATTCACAGGCACCCTGTTAGACCAAAAATCGCGCCCACCATACGCAAGGGAAATCACTGTCCTTTTTACGCCCAGTGGACTGCGACATTTTCTGTGCTGGGACTCTGTGGCCGTTGCTGCTCTGTAGACCATGTTCAATTCGGTTTGCAGAGGACGGACCGTTTTCCCCGGCGGCGGCCGGCGAAGCTTGGGCGGTGCCCTTCGCCAATGGTTAGTGCTGTACGGCGCGCACTCGTCGCTAAGTTTGCTGCACCCTCGTCTCGTCCCAGTCAGATTCAACTGACTCTTAAAGTGTTGCGGCGTAACTACGGTGGGAAGGTGTCTTCACCCTCCGCTCAGGGGATGATTTGACAGGCTCGGTCTGCCCTCTGTCTCTGTATGAGTCTGGCGGCCTCGCCCTTTAGACGTTATGTGAGCTGCTCAGTCAGCTGTCTTCTTCGTTAGACCTTCGTTGCTTGCTCTAGACAATTTTGGTTTACTGGAGTCTAATAGTAATGAGGTAGAGTTATCTACGCATTATTTGATCTAAGAAAGTAGGCATTTCTTCTCCATACCTTTACTGACAGTCATCCTTTGCCCGTCCCAACGCACTCTGCACGCAACCGCCCCCCCCCCCCCATTCAGACGTCGGCTGTCTTCCTTCTCTGACGTCATAGCATCCGGATTCTGACTTTCGCCCCTCTGACCTCAACCTACCCTCCCCTTTGACCTCAGTCCTCCATCCATTTTGACCTCAGCCTCTCCTCCGTTCTGACTTCAGCCTCCCCATCCCCTCTAACCTCAACCTCCACTCCCTCTGATCTTAGCCTCCCCCTTTGACCTCAGCCTCCCCTCCCCTCCGACCTCAGCCTCCCCTCCCCTCTGACCCCAGCCGACCCCTCCCTGCCGAGAGGACGCCGCCGATGACGCGGCAGAGTCGCGACGGCCCGCCGTCCACATTAATCCCGCCGACTGGAAGTCCGGACGTACCCGGCGGAAGAGGGGCTGGCTGAGCGCGCCGGGAGGGGAGCCGAACCCCTACACCCGCGCCTGGGGGACTGCCAATGACGGCTCGACAGTAAATTCTTATTTTAATCACCACGCTCCCTGCGCTGAACACACCGCAGCCCTATAAATGACCGGGCGGAAGCCCCGTCTACATGCCATGGCGGACATCAAATGCCAACCGACCCAACTCCATAATTTCAGCACGCGTAAGTTTTCCCGTGATACGTCGCACTGACCTTTTACGGCAACAGGGTCATCATTAACGGCGTGCCGTGCATCTGTGTGTCATGCATATGCAAGCGACCTGGTCGCAGTGCGTCAGGAACATCGCGCACATCACGCCAAAGTGCACATCGAGTGGTGACTCTTTCGCCGCCGTGGCTGTCATATGCCACCACGAACGTCCTCGGCGCCGCAGTGATGTGGATGTACCCAAATGTCACACGATCACACAAATCAAACATCCGGAACTCCGCTAGCTTCGAGGAGGTTGGAACCCGCGGGTGCAGTCCCAGCGCCTTGACTGGCGCGGCGGGAAGGGGTCACACGAACGCTGGCAGGGTGAGGTGGCCACCGAGAGTACCGGCCGACGGACTGCTCACGTGGGCTCGCGCGGCAGACGCCTCGCGAACGAAGGGCAAGAGTTCGCGTCGCCGCCAGTGTTCTCTCACGTCTCGAGTTCAGTTTTCACGGCCCTGATCTGCGTGCGAATGGTAGGCGCTGCCGGCTTTGCTTGGTGGCTAAGCAGATAGTTACCGTTAATTTTATTTTAAAGGTGGACCTGGATTAAGCTAGGACAATTTAGTTTGATAGTTCAGATAGTTTGGCAAAGTTTCAGTTTTTCAGGAAAACGCAGTGCTTACCTATACTACAAATCAGTGGCAACTGCTGTGACGGTGCTCTCTTAACAGGGGCGACTTTGGTTGAAACGAAGTGCTCAAGCCGGCGATGCAGTTGCTCGTGCTGGCGACATTGTGCCGCCAGAACAACGACATCCACTTTTCATGGCTGACTCCCCATATATCACTCGGGCTCGAGCTCCAAAGTCAGAGATGCCCTGCCGCCAGAAATACCATAGTCGTTGTCGGCCAGCTGGAACACGGCTATATGAACTTCGTGAAAAAGCTCGCCCTTCCTCTATATACATAATAGTTTCTTGAGTTTTCTAGACGCTTGTCGGGCTATTGCCACGTCTTCCTAGTTTCTCCATCCTCTGTCACCGCACGAAAGCTGCCGGTTCCCGTCTGGCTGTGATGGTCAGTGGGTGAGGGGGAGGGGGGGGGGGGGGGCTAAGCGAACGGTATATGGCCAAACCAAACCCGACATTGATCAAAAGCTGCCCTTGTCACCGTACTGACCTGTTTCGTACTAAAAACTAAGAGCCGGCCGCGACGCCAGGAGGCGGAGCAGACCAGCAGAGGGTGTGGAAGGGAGCTGCAGCCCGTAACGGGCCGGGAAGCACGCGGGTCCGCGATCGAGGCCCGCGCGGCCCGCTCCAGGCGCTCGCGAAGCAGCGGCTCTCCGACGTTTGCTCGAGTTCGACGCGGCTTGACGGCCACAAATCGCGGAGCGCCGCCATGAATCGCCGCCCGCGATGTAAAATGCATCGGCTTCACTGGCGGCGATCATGTCTGGCGGCGGCGTGGGGATGGGGGGGGGGGGGGGGGGAGCGACGCGCGACGGTCGGCCGCCGCCAGCCCACGCTGCCATTATCTCCCGCCCTAATTGTTGGCTGTCGCCCGGCCAAAGTCCAGGTACATTTTTATTAGAGACCCGATTGAAAGGTGGCGCGCGCGCAGCGGGCCTGATGGCCGCTCGCGGCGGACCACAACATGGCGTGCGGCGTAATAAAATACTGGCGTGACGCACTAATGCCGGAGCTTTGCGGTAATAGATCAGAGACGGCCTCCGACGAGCCGCGGGCCGCCACCGGTGTGCACTAATCAGGCCCTGCGTGGACGCGGACTAATAGAACTACGGCTCATGCCGAGCAGACGTATTAGCCGTCTTTGTTGCGGGGCGGCGGCGGCGGCGGCCCGTCGGCCTCCTGAGAGATCGTGGGAGTGCTGAGCCTCGCCGCGCTCTCCGGGAGACGCGCCATAGCGCGCTCCGCGGTCGCCAGGGTGGCTTCCCGCGCACAACGGCCTCCGAGCCGCCGTCGCCCCTGATTGCCACCGCAGGCTGTTGTTTTATGTGCAGTTTTTTGGGAAGTTGCGCCAGGCTGTCAGTGGTTTTTGGCAAACGTGATATGCCGTAAGTTGGATGCGCGGTGGGTCGGCCAGCAGTATTCGACCTCTTGACATCTGCAATGATGGTTACAGTTTTAAAGAAAAGGCTTCAGACGGCAGCCAAAGAAGTATTAATTGCCTTTTAACGTTTATGAGTGAGGATCTCCTCCTGCGTCTTCCATCCTCACCTGGAATGAGAAAAGCTCCATGCCGACTTCCGGTTTACAACAGACACCGACTATCCTCATCACAGTAGGAACGGACCAAAATATATCACCTCATACCAGACAGAAAATATTACACGGGCAATCACCAGCCCCGACAAAAAGTGTCATAAATGTCTCCTACCCTGCCAGACGAGAGACTGAACAAAACACCGGCTTGCGCTGTCTCGCGGTGGCTTCGGGACCTTGAAACGCTTCCTTCGCTGTCCGAGAACAGTGCCGCCTTGGAGGCGACGCAATCACGGCTCTCGACATTGGCGTTAGAGCCTCAGAACCTCTGAACCTCTGAACCTCTGAACTCTGCGCTAGACATTCAGGCATGGACATGAAACCGTGAGACTCGTGCTATCCGCCGATTGCTGCACAAACATTCCGACAACGAAGCAAGCCCCACTCGTCCGGTATCTCCTGCGAGTTAATCAACATTCTTAGTGCTGGCTTGCGCGACATATGTATTTGCATCGCGTCGTCGTCACGGCAATGGCGGAAAACGTTAATGGTCGCTCTTATAGCTTGGCCTCCGTGGACTCACGAGCGTCATCCTGAATGATATACCGGCGCCAGTGCTCTAGCCTATGGCTTAGCCTCCGTGGACTCACGAGCGTCATCCTGAGTGCTACACCGGCGCCAGTGCTATAGCCTATAGCTTAGCCTCCGTGGACTCACGAGCGTCATCCTGAATGCTATACCGGCGCCAGTGCTATAGCCTAGAGCTTAGCCTCCGTGGACTCACGACCGTCATCCTGAGTGCTACACCGGCGTACGTTGTGTGTGCCAGTCGGACGGACCAGGCGCCAGTGTGGAGTCACCCCCTTATTATGGCCGCGCAGCGGGCTTTAATTATGGCGGAATTGAAGAGCATAATGTCTGTTGAGCTTTGGTGCCGGACAGCACCATCGAGTGCACTTAAAAACGATCGGCAAACTGTACGGCGTGGCTGCTCGCGGTTCTCAGTATCACCTAGTCGCCTCTCGACGAGCGATGCGACTTTTCCGTCCATTTGCGCAGTGCACTACCGAGAAAAGCTCGCTGATTCTGTTTGCCTGCCGCTGACCGTCGGCGTCGTTGCGGTGGCGACGCCCGTCTCCAGAGGCCTGTCGCCTCGCCGACGCAGGGACACCGCCAGCGGCCGCCGGCCCTTCCCCATCCCTCCCCCGCCAGCTGCCGGCGGGCCAGTCTATTTAGTACGGCGCCCCACATGGCAATACGGGGGAAAACATCGGGCCAAACCTGATTGTCATTCCCTGAGGGACCGGCTACAAGATTGCCCTTGTTTGCCCACCTTGTTAGCCGGTTCGGCTGTTGAAAGTGGAATACATATTTATTCGGGGCGTCATGCGCGCCCGGCGCCCGGCCGGCGGCTCGGGAGGAGCCGACGGCGGCACCTCCACCTTCCGCCCGCCCCGGAGTAATAACGCCCACTGCGGCCGCCGCTCCCGCTCAAGTGTGTGTGGCGCGACTGGCAATTACCAGCGTGGCGGACGGGGAAGATGCAAGGATTTCGGCGCTCTTGCGCCTGATTGCCGATGCGCCGATAAGATGAATGAAACAAAAGAAACGAGAGCGCCCGCCCGCCAGCCGTTAAATGATTTCTCGGCGCGTGCATAACTCATGAGCGGCAGGCCGGCCTTCTTACGGCGGGAATAGATGAGCGGCGGCTGGCCGGCGGCGGCGGACGTGCCCGCCGATGGCGCGGAGCCGCGGCACGCCATGCGATTCATCGCCGGTGGCGGCGGACGAGAGGGCAGGCGAGCCGCCTCCGCAGCCGGGG